TGACCTCTGCCTGAGAGTGGCCACTGCAAGTGGCTCCAGCCAGGGGATGGGGGGAATGAGGTCTGTAGGCCCCTGAGGCCTCTTGCAGACCCGGGAGGGAGGCAGTGCTTGCAGCAGTGGCTAACACCAGCCTCACACAGCCTGCAGCTCCCCCTGCAGGCGATTCAGTTCCTCTAGTTCCTGCTTATAGCGGTCAGTCTTGTGTGCCACCAAGGAGCGGTAGAAATGCAGGGCAAAGGCCACAAACACGAGCCCCACGGGTACCATGATGGCTGTGGAGGCCATTGCTGCTTGCCAGCCTGGCCCATGGGACCCCCCACCACCACAGGTTTGCCGGGGTGGGCAGGCTGGCTCAGCCTGGGACGGTGCTGTGGATGCAGAGGATGGTGGGAGATTGGAAGCTGGACTAGGGGAGGTAGCCACTGGTGCCAGAGTCCCGGGCACCCGGGATGTGGGCACCATGGGGGTCTGTGTGTCCAAGGGAGCCCCAATGGGCACAAACTTGACCCAACCAACCAGGACAACTTCAGCAAGGAAGAGAAAGGTGCCCAGGGCAGTGGAGAAGCCCCAGGCCAGCTCCACGTAGCGGTGCAGTCTCTGGTGTGGTGACTGGTGGACAGAGTTGAGGTTGTGGATGTTGCTCACAGCTTCAATGTGGGGCAGCAGACACGTGGAGACCATGAGTGCAAAGAGGTGCACAGCCACCAGCACGGTGGTGCAGGCACTGAAGGCCACCAGCAGGCCTGGCGGGTACTCGTGGTCGCTCTCCAGCTGCACCTCCACCATGGCCACCTGCAGGGACAAGAGGGGATGGACTGACTCCCCATAACCTCCTCAACTGTAGAGATTTTTTCCGCCTATTGGGATACATCACTGATACGTATCCCTAGGACCTGGAACTGTGCCTGGCAGAAAGCAGAGACATTCAGTCTCCATTGAGTAAACGAATGGACAGCTTTGCAAAGGCTCTGTTCTGGTTTCCCCACCTGCCTATCAAGAGGGCTGGGTGGCCGGGCGCGGTGGCTCATGCCTAGAATGCCAGCACTTTGGGAGGCCAAAGTGTGTGGATCACCTGAGGTCAGGAGTTTGAGACCAGCCTGGCCAACATGGCAAAACCCCGTCTCTACTAAAAGTACAAAAATTAGCTGGGCATCGTGGTACATGCCTGTAATCCCAGCTACTTGGGAGGCTGAAGCAGGAGAACTGCTTGAACCCAGGAGGCAGAAGTTCGAATGAGCCAAGATCATGCCACTGCACTCCAGCCTGGGCAACAGAGCAAGACTCTGTCTCGGGGAAAAAAAAAAAAAAAAAAGAGGGCTGGGGTGGATGACTTGCTTCTGACAGGTTTACTGCATAGGGATCAAACAGCAGATTCTGGAGCTGGGCTGCCTGGGCTCATTCTGTGCTCGAGCTGTGTAATCTTGAGCAAGTCAGTTCTCTGTGTGCCTCAATTTCCTATCTGGAAATGGAGATTGATAACAGCACCTCCCTGCCTTGTAGGGTTGGTATAAACATTAAATGAAATATACATGAAATGGGCTGGGCGTGGTGGCTCACGCCTTTCATCCCAACACTTTGGGAGGCCGAGTCGGGTGGATCACCTGAGGTCAGGAGTTCAAGACCAGCCTGGCCAACATGGTGAAACCCTGTCTCTACTAAAAATACAAAAATTAGCTGGGCGTGGTGGTGTGCACCTGTAATCCCAGCTACTCAGGAACTTTGGAGGCTGAGGCAGGAGAATTGCTTGAACCCAGGAAGCAGAGGTTGCAGTGAGCCGAGATCACACCACTGCACTCCAGCCTGGGTGACAAAGTGGGACTCTGTCTCAAAAAAAAAAAAAAAAAAAAGAAAGAAGGAAAGAAGGAAGGAAGGAAGGAAGGAAGGAAGGAAGGAAGGAAGGAAAGGAGGAAGGAAAGGAAGAAGGAAAGGAAGAAGGAAAGGAAGAAGGAAAGGAAGAGGAAAGGAACAGGCCAGGCACAGAGTAAGCAGTATGTACGTGTTTGCTGTTCTTGCTATGGTGAGTGCTAAAGTCTGAGGACAGAGTTTACAAATCAGCACACTGTGGACCACTTCCAGCTTGCAGACGTGTTTTGCTTGGCTCACACAGTGTGTTTCTTAAAAAATGAAGATGTTGCCAACTTGTAAAACCCAAGAGAGTTCTTATATCCCTATTTCCAGATCCCCTTGAAAACTTGGAAGAACTGGCCACACTTGGCCCGCGTTCCTGCACGGCAACTATCAGCTCAAATCAGTCATGGCTGCTCCCCTTGGAAAGGTAATGGGGTCTCTCTCTCTTTTTTTTTTTTTTTTTTGTAGATGCCAGGTCTTGCTATGTTGCCCAGGCTGGCTGGACTTGAACTCCTGGGCTCAAGCGATCCTCCTGCCTTGGCCTCCCAAAGTGCTGGGATGAACAGTGTGAGCCATCACCCTCGAATGTCAGGGGATCTCTTGCTTGCTAGTCCCTACCCAGCCAACTTGGCATCCATATTACTTGCCTGGCCCTTTGCAGACATTTAAGTTGATGACCCTATTCTAGGAATGTATAAATTTGGAGTCTGGAACCAGACTGCTTAGGCTCAAATCCTGCCACTTACTTGCTGTGGGACCTTGGCCAGGTGTCTTAACATCTCTGATCCTCAGTTTCCTCATCTGTAAAATGGCCAGAGTAGCAGTACCCACTTTGTAGGCTAACAGATGATGTACATAAAGGCACTGAGGGCAGTGCCTGGTGCTTAGTGACAGCTGGATACAATTTGTATAATGCTATTCTAACTTAGGCCACCTGAGTTTCAGAATCCCACTCTCTCCCCATGCGTGGTTCTTGTAGGGTCCATTCGATTGCTCTGGGCCTGGGGAAAGAAGAAGGTAGGTGTAGAGGCTGGCGGGTGGAGGCAGGAAAGCAGGGCTGAGTATTTTGGGAAACTGGGCCATGGCAGGTGTCAGGAGGTGTTTTCCACAGACAGGGATCTGGGCCAGGCTTAGTCCTGGTTTCTCCCAGAGCCTGGTCCAGCCTCGGTCTCCCCTGCTAGGACTGTGGCCAGTCCTGCCCCCAGAACCTAAACCTCCAGCCCCTTACTCCTGCAGAGAAGGCTCGGGCCCTTAAGCTGTCACCCCGGCAACCTGCACGTTCTGCTGTGGAGGGATTGTCTCCTTGGGAACAGGCTGGACCACGGGGTTGACCTCCCTCAGCTCAGGTGGCTGCTCTCTTCCCTCTGCAGGCTGTGTAGATGAAGGGGCACCAACGCCCTGTCCCCAGGTGATGCCCCCCATCAGGAAAGGTAAGCTGGTCTGTAGATTCTGGGAACCCACGTAGAAGACCATAGGCTTATGATGACCCTTAGGGTTAGAGAGTTTCCCTGTCATTGTTCAAATATGGAGGTTATGACACAGATGGGGCAGGGACTAGCCCAGATCCCCTAACTCCATGGTCCCCACCCCAACTGCCTCTGATATCCATCCCCACAGGAGTGCGTTCCCCAAAGTACCTCCTGCAGCTCACTTTCTTCTTTTTCCTGGGGTGATGGTGGGGAAACCCCAGACTAACAGAGCAGCAACCCTGGGTCCCAGTTCATTCACTGCTGCCCAGAGGCGAGACCTTTGCTTTCCACACCTGTCCAATTGGACTAGCAGGCTAGTCTGAGCCATCCTTGGTGAGTCGCCTGCTCTGGCATGCTTGGCTCACCCTGGGGCGGGTACTTGGCGGGCTACAGAGGGCGCACCCTCCATGATCTCACAGTTTCCCACTGGCTTGCAAGGGGGGTGGAGGCCTGTCCAGGGTCACATAGCTGGCCACAAGCAGGGAGGAGCCAGGACTGTGTCTGTTGATCCTCACCCTGGGACCTCCCTCCATCCCACTTCCTGTGAGGCCACCGCTGGGACAGACCGTTAGCCGACACCGTCCTCCTGCACCTGTGGTTTATCAGCTTGAGAATCGCTTATCAGTTTCCTCATGGGCCTTCTCCCCAGCGGCTCCCTCCCGGGCATGATCTCTTGTCAGTTTTCCTGGTTGACACTAGCACCCCTTGGGCCTGCTGGAGAGTGGCCACATTCCCTGGGATGGGCCCAACTTCAGCTGAGTGACCCTGCCACCCAGCTGATCCATCTCGAGCACCCCCGCCTGTTGATGCAGCCCCCACCGAGCTGACCTGCCTTTGAAGCTGGCACTGGGACTTAGGAACCACTTCTGCCAGGAACAGGCTCCGTCTGAACCACTCTGCCTTATCGTTGCAGTCAACCCCACTGGTGATTTGTTCACCCCACTCCCTCTATGACACCTTTAGGACCTTAGTGTCCTCCGGTGGCCCCATCTCCTGGGGGCCCCTGTACACACACATCCGTAAGAAGGGACTTGCTCAGTCCCTTGGGACCTTGTTCCTTCCCCCTTGACGAAAGCCCCCTCTGCCCTGTGTCCCTTGACACCTGTTTACTTTGCTCCCCCCAACCTGTGCCCCCCACGTGCTCTGCCCCACCGTATGTGCCCCCTCCCGGCCCCTCACCATGGCGAAGCCCGAGAGCAGGGCAGACGTGCGGCTGGAAGCTTTGAGCTTGGCCCGGCTGAGGTAGAGGCGGCGCCAGCTGAGCGCCCGCAGCGAGTGCTGACTGGCCCCCATGAGGTCCAGGTAGCCGCGGTGCACGAACTCCCGGTACGTGGCCGAGCCTGCAGGGCTCTCGCCCTCCGGGTTCAGCGGGGCCTGCTCGCACGCGTCCTCCTCGCCGCCCTTCATCCTGGGGGCGGCGGCACCAGGCGGTCACTACGGGGCGGAGGCGCCTCGGGGGCCCCAGCTGGGCCGGCCCAAGCCCAGGGGCGGCCCCATCCCCCGATAGGGCAAGCAGGATGCCGGCGGCGGGCGCCCAGGAAGAGGCGGCCCCAGCGGAGCAGGAAGAGAGGCGTCTGCGGGGAGCCCCAGGGGCCGGAGCGGGACAGCGGAGGCCGAAACAGGAACTGGGGCAGAGGCGGAGCCGGGCTGGCCACATGATGGGGTGGAGCTGGGGACCGAGTCCCCGTGGTCCCGGGCCCACAGATTCCCCGCGACCCCTACCCACCAAGAACATCATCCAAGCGCCCGGACCCCACCGAGGTGCACGCCAGCCACAGCCACCTCCAAGGTACAGCTGGATACCCCAGGTGTCCACACTTTCAAATCCCTCCCAAAATGAACCCAGGAGAGGTGAGCCCACTCATCTGTAGGTAGGGACCCTGCACACACACACACAAACTCCGCAGTCCCGGCTGGAAGATTTTGAATTTTATAGCAAACCGTATTGTACAGACCCGGGGCCCAGGGGCCCAGCCCGGCTGGGTCCCCCGCTTGCCCCTTGCCGGGCTGCCTCCTCCCTCCCTCAAGCGGCCCCATCCTCAAGCCTCTCGCTATCCCCAGGCCCCTCCCCTCCGGCCTTTGGTCCGCCCAGCCCTCCCCCCACCCGCGCACCTCCCTGTTACCTGAGGTATGTGGATAGATCTCCCCTCCCCTACATGGTAAGCCCCGGCCCCCCGGAGGCCTGCGTGAAGGGGCGGGACCTGACCCAGCTCCTCCCCCGGGCTCCGAAGCCCCACCCCGCGCTGGAAGAAAGGGCGGGAAGGAGGGCCAGCAGAGTCTGTTACTAGGTTCCCATGGCAACTAAGAGGGGCCATTTCCAGCCTTAGCACTGGCATCGGGAGGTGTCCGTTGGCTGCTATTTCCATGGCAACCAGGAGTGGCAGTTCCCTGGGCAAATGGGATACAAGTTTCCGTGACGATGAAAGAGTGGGAAGAGCCAGGCTGGAGGAGTCCCATAGTCCCCATCCTTGGGCTTGCGCCCCCAGCCATAATGCAGGTCCGGCGGGTGCCGCCGCTCAATACAGTAAAACAAGAACGAGCCTGGGGGTGGCGCAGTCCCAAATGGGCACCCACCGGCCCCGTCTCAGGTCTCAAGTCCAAGCTGGTCCAGTCCCCCTCACACTCCGGCTCCCCCAGGTCCGAGGTTCCCCCGGTTCAAGTAACACTTCAGTACAGATGAATGTTCAAGTATTGTGCGGAGAGGCGGGCAGGGGTTGGGGCACCCCTCGCCACTCCCCTGGGCCGCGAGCTGAAGAGCGGCTGCCCGCGGCCCCCACTCCTTACAATAGCTGCCGTTTTCAGTGACGTTCAAGGAGTCAGGGTCGGGGGAAGGAACTGAAGCCTGGGGAGGGGGGAAGCAGAGAGGTGACCCCCAAGGGGGTATTGCTGTCCCCACACCTGCTCTCATCCCCACCTCCAGCTCAGCCCCGGCTTGCCCCTGGCTCCCCTACCTCTGACACCTGGATACCCAATTGCTCCTCCAGTTTTCCTTTTGTGGCCCCCCCACCCCCCAATCGAAGTAACTGGTCTTTGTTCCCTGAACCCTTGGTGGTCTGCTGTCTGCCCCGCCCCCCGCCCCTTCCACCTCCCCCAGGCCCTGGCTCCCATATCCTCTGTGTGTCCTTTCCCCATTCTCCCCCCCAACACTTGAACCATAACCCCCCTCCCACCGTCCCTTCGGCTCAGCACCCTCCAGTACCTCTGACCCACTCCCCCCAGGGGATGGACAATGAAGCAGGTAGCAGGGGGAGGACATGGGAAGGAGAAACCCCCAGAGATATCAGTGCAGGGGGGAAAGAAGGGGGTGGCTGGCTTGAGTCCCTGGGTGGGAATCCCAAGTCACTGACACTCAGGAATCCCGGGGTGGTGAGGTGGGAACCTGGCCTCCCAGCAGGGGTGAAATGAAGCCGGAGGTCCAGGCTCCTGTCGAGTCCGGGGGAGGGTGGGGGGCGCCCAACTAGCTGTCCTTGAGAAGCAGCTTCTCCTCAGGGCAGCGGAAGGGGCCAGGGGGCCCGGCGGCTGCCAGCCGGGCACAAGCTTCGGGTGAGAGCTGGCGGCAAGAGCGCAGGTCTAGGCGGCGTAGACGAGGGCAGCGGCGGAACAGCGGGAGGCAGTGGTCCGTTAGGCGGTGGCAACCTGGGGATGGGGCAGTGGCAGCTGAGACCAGGCAGGTGAGCAAGGGGTTGGCACTGGCCGTGGGGACCCACAGGCTGGCAGGACGGATGGGGGACTGTGCTTACCAGCAAGATTGAGGTGCACCAGGGTCTCCCGGAGTGGGGACGTGGGGGCCGTGAGGAGATGAACACTGGGGTCCCCGACGTGGGCGCAGTGGCTCAGGTCCAGGGCGCTCAGCTGGGGTGCGTGGCGCAGCAGGAGCCGCAGGGAGGCATCTGTCAGCTCCAGACCTGCCAGGCGCAGTTCTGCCACCCCCTGCAGCCGACCACGGCTCTCTGTTTGCCCTGGGCAGCCAGATGAGAGGTCAGCACTCCTGGCCACTCCCATCCCTGCGCCCAGGTATCCAGACCATCTCCCCTCCACCTGCTTCCCACATGAGTGAGTGACCTGTTGCACTCTGCGGCTTGCTCTTCTCAAAAACACCCTCATGACCTGACCTCATCTGTCCACTCCTCACATCACCTCATCGGAGGCCTTCCATGATTATTGTATTTGAGACTACAATATTCTGCCAGGCGTGGTGGCTCATGCCTGTAATCTCGGCACTTTGGGAGGCCGAAGCGGGCGGATCACAAGGTCAGGAGTTCAAGGCCAGCCTGGCCAACATGGTGAAACCCCGCCTCTACTAAAAATACAAAAATTAGCCGGGCATGGTGGCAGGTGCCTGTAATCCCAGCTACTCAGGAGGCTGAGGCAGGAGAATCACTTGAACCCAGGAGGTGGAGGTTGCAGTGAGCCAAGATTGTGCCACTGCAGCCTGGGCAACAGAGCGAGACTCCATCTCTAAATAAATAAATAAATAAATAAGTCTGGGGACCTCCCCTCCTCTCTCTTGCTAGCTGTCTTGCCATGTGACATGCAGACTCCTTCACATTCCATCAAGAGTAAAAGCTACCTGAGGCCTCCCCAGAAGTTGAGCAGATGCAGGCACCACGCTTCCTGTACAGCAGAACCCTGAGCCAATTCAATCTCTTTTCTTTATAAATTACCCAGCCTCAGGTATTTCTTTATAGTAATGCAAAAACTAATGTAATTCCCCACACTCCTACCACTTCCTTGCATCATTTTTTCCTCTTTTCTCACCATTTGACATATTATATGCATTTTTCTGACATATATACGTTTTCCTTTTCTTTTTTACCCCCCGAGACAGAGTCTTGCTCTGGTGTGCCGTGGTGTGATCTTGGGTCACTGCAACCTCCGCCTCCCGGGTTCAAGCAATTCTCGTGCCTCAGCCTCCCGAGTAGCTGGGATTACAGGCGCACACCACCATGCCTGGCTAATTTTTGTATTTTTAGTACAGACAGGGTTTCACCACATTGGCCAGGCTAGTCTCGAACTCCTGACCTCATGATCCACCCACCTCAGCCTCCCAAAGTTCTGGGATTACACACATGAGCCACTGCGCCCGGCCATATATACATTTTTCTTATTAATCTTTCTCTCCTGCCACAAGACTGTCAGTACTACCAAGGCAGGAATTTTTGTCTGCTATTCATTGCTACAGTCCCAGCAACTGAGACACAGTAGGTGTTCAATTTATTTTCGTTCATTCATTCATCAGACACATGACATCCCTGATGGACCTACCATCCAGGCCCTTCTCCCACTTCCCTCCCCTCCATGGTCAGTAAGTCCCCATCAGGAGCCTCTCTTTTCTCCCTGGTCACCACTCGGGGTCAACACAACTGGTGCCTGAACTCCTGGCCCAGCCTCCTCACCTGCTACACTTCTCTGCTCTTCTTTCTGGCATCCAGAAAGCTGATCTCAAATACAAATGGGACAGCATCCCTTCTCTAAAACTCTCTGAGGGTGCCTCAAAGAGGTCTAGCCTCCTTGGTAGAACATCCCAGTTCCTATAAGGTCTCAGCTGCTAACTCCTCTCCCTTACCCCTGAACACCTGGGCCACATTCCACAGGTGGCCCTGCCTGAGAGACTCTGCCTGCCTCATGTCCCTCTGTCCCTGGTTTTCAGGTCTGAGCTCAGAGGCTCCCTGCTCCCCAATCTGTAGGATCCAAGTGTTCACACCCTTCATCTTGGCATCCAAAGAATATAGTCTACATTTATTTTATGCCAATGGCTCTCAAACTAGAGAGGCTTCAAAGTCACCTGGAAGGGCTGGTTAAAAGGGATTGCTGGTCCCAGCTGGGCGCGGTGGCTCACGCCTGTAATCCCAGCACTTTGGGAGGCTGAGGCAGGCGGATCATCAGGTCAGGAGTTCGAGACCAGCCTGGCCAACATGGTGAAACCCCGTCTCTACTAAAAATACAAAAAAAATCAGTTGGGCGTGGTGGTGCATGCCTGTAATCCCAGCTACTCAGGAGGCTGAGACAGGAGAATCAATCGCCTGAACCCGGGAGGCAGAGGTTGTAGTGAGCCGAGATTGCGCCACTATACTCTAGCCTGGGCGACAGATCAAGACTCCATCTCAAAAAAAAAAAAAAAAAAAGGGATTGCTTGTCCCATCCCCAGAGTTTAGGCAGGTCTACAGGTTCATTTGTTTTTGAGACAGGGTCTTGCTCTGTCGCCCAGGCTGGAGTGCAGTGGTACAATCACAGCTTACTGCAGCCTCAACCTCTCTGTAACTCACTGTAGCCTTGATCCTCCCATCTTGGCCTCCCAAAGTGCTGGGATTACAGGCCTGAGCCACTGCGCCTGACCAGAGTTTACTTTTTTTTTTTTTGAGATGGAGTCTTGCTCTGTCACCCAGGCTGGAGTACAGTGGTGCAATCTCGGCTCACTGCAACTTCCACCTCCCAGGTTCAAGCAATCTCCTGCCTCAGCCTCCCAAGTAGTTGGGATTAAAAGAATGTGCCACCATGCCCGGCTAATTTTTCTATTTTTTTTAGTAGAGACAGGGTTTCACCATGTTGGCCAGGCTGGTCTCGAACTCCTGACCTCAAGTGATCTGCCCACCTCGGCCTCCCAAAGTGCTGGGATTACAAGTGTGAGCCACCACGCCTGGCCCAGGGTTTACTTTTTTTTTTAACAAGTTCTCCAGTGTTGTGGATGCTGCTGGTCCCCAGACCATACTTTAAGAACCACAGCCTTGGGAGACAAGATCTCTGATCATCATTCCTGTTTACGGCCAGGAAACCCAGGCCCGGTGATGC